AAAAAAAAAAAAGCCTAATAAATGTAGTTTCTGATTGCAGGATACTTATCCAGATCTTCTTTCAATTCAGGCCTTATGGGAAATTAAGATCATTACTCATATGACATATGTCATGATTGGCCTTTTCAATATTTTTGTGTCAGAAAGTGGGATATGCTTCATAGAATCATCTAACTTCAATACTGGCATGAAAAATCTAAATTTGAGAGTATAACCAACCTGTAAAGTTCACTCTTCAAAGGAGAGAGGAGTAGAATAATCCTGCTTTCTAATTTGTCTTCTAATGCACTAACAGAAATTCTGTCTTTTTAATTTAATTCCCTTTAATTTATAATCTGCACTGAATATGGATCTGTCATTTTCAGGTAGGCATGTATATTAGACATATTTAAAGGCACAAGACTTCATACTGACCAGCATATTTACAGGGAGTATCTTGACTGACCTGTTTGATTTTATACCATAATGAATATCAGTGCTTATTCCATAAGAAATAAATTCTTTTTCTTCCTCTCCTTCATCACCAACATCCTCTGCAAAGAATTAAGAAACCTTACTAGCACCAGTTTCTCCACAAATACATTTTTTTTTATTTTGATACATGAAAAAGAAAAAAAAAGAACAAAGGGAAACATTAGAAAAATACAGGAAGTCATGTGATTGTTTAAAAGAGATCATTAAACACTGGCTGCACAAAACAACACTTTCCATTACCTCATATAGAAAGCAAGCATGTTTTAGTAATTAAAAACCTCAAACTTGGAGTCATACAATCTCTTTAAAACTGCTTGCTTTGTACAGGCTTAAATTCAGAAAAGCATAAAAGCCAGGAAAGAGATTGGGAAGTTGGCCGGGGGTGGGGGGTGGGGGGTGGGTGGCTCCAGAAATGAAGATTCCTAAAATTAGAATTGCTTATTGCTGTTATTTATACTATTTTACATAAATTGTCTTTTCACTAAACGTTTTTGAATTTGAACTATGCCCGCTTATAGTTTACAAATAAAGAACTTTCTGCGGAATTCTAATTTGTCAAGATTCAATACAAATAACATTTACACTTGATAGAAGCTATAATTCTCTCAAATATTAGAGGATTCTTTATACAGGAAAACCTCATAGCTTAAGGAAAATGAGACTCGATTAACAATTTCTTAGCTGACAATGCTATAGTAATGACACCACTGCAATGCAGCACAGTGACGTGCTCTCTGGGAGACACACCCAAACGGGGAAATGGAAAGAAAAAGCAATGAGCTTGAACAATACATCTCTAGAGACAAAAATACTTAAGTGAACTTTCAGCATTTCTCATAGTATAAAGGACTCAGTTGACATAATTGACAAATGTACTTATTGTTTTATTAAAAAGCTAAAATACTTTTAGCAAGGTTTACTAGATGTTTGTGTTTTAGAAAGGGGAAAAAACCCAAATTCCTGGAAGATGTAAGATCAGGGACATAGCCTTTCCAGGGAGTATAAAGATGCTCCATTGTTCTGCTCAAATTTTTATGCACAACTTTTTGTCAGAAATCAACATACTTCGTGTCTAAAAACAGACTGTTCTTTAAAGTGCTCCAATATAATTTGTTATTATTTCTGCTTTATACCTTATTCTAAATCAAGTTTTTATTTTTAATGAAATAAAATAAATGATGAAATTTACTAAAAAATAAAAATACTAAAAAATAAAAAACATTTTAGTGTCATTCAGTTGAGAAATATCCCATATTGATTATCAGATTACTCCTGAAAAGTCTCAGAAAACTGTAATTACTGCAAAATGCCGAGACTGGTTTAACTATTGTAATAAGGATTACATGAGTCTCTACTGTGGTGAAATATCTGCACTGCATACCCATTGCTTACTGGTCGTAATTTAAGGTGCAGTCAACACTCCAAATGGTTTAAGTCTGATTATCTGAGAAACCATGTCCTATTATGAACCTCTGTGGACATTAAAATGCTTTTATCAGAATTGAATCTATCTGGGTTACAAGAGAAGACCTTTTCCTATATTGCTTCCAGACTAAGAAAATTACTACTATGGGTTTCATGATTGGCCTAATTATCTAAGCACTGACAAAATATTTCAGGCTTTAATGATGTAATACCTTTAAAATATTTGTTAGCTACCATGACTGCTCGTTTGAAAATAAAATACTGTGAATTAACACCAGAACTTACAGCTTAAACTTTACAAAATTGTATTACATCTCAAGTCAGTAATTTGGGACATACAATTTAGATTTGCTTGATAAGCTTAAGAGATTTGCATGATATGATTCTTAACATTCTGAAGTATTTTCAAAAGATCTATTAAATTACAAAAAAGCAGTCTAGACTTTTGGTATAGCTATTTGTCAGTGGCATAATGAACAGAATTAAAATGCTTTAAAATGCACTATTTTGATTATCATTTACTACTAGTTGATCTCATTTAAGTGATACTACTAGCAATTACTGTACAACACATTTTAAAAAAAGGCTCTTTCCAGATTATCAAAAAGGACCGAAAGCTAAAAATTCCTTACTTTTCATTACAGGTTCATTTGGAAATAAGAATGGTGATTTAATCAGGCAAATAATGAAGTTATTGCCTCATTATTACCATGACTTAAAATGTAATCCACAAGATAGTTCCAACAAAATCTGTAAATCTATTTACAAAGTCTATAGTAACTTTATGAAAATTGTTTTATTCATAAAAGAAAAGACCATAAAAAATCTACCATTCAATTTGGAAAGCACCCATACCTTTCAAAAATACTTAGTCACAAAATGAATCCTATCACTAATTTAGAAGTTCTGGAGAATTAACAGTACATGGAATTGAATAGAAAATGCTTATAAACAATTGTACAATTCTTCAACCACAAAGAACATTTAGAAGAAAGCATGTGTTTATTGTAGTAATTAGTACTGGAGTAGTGTTTTTATATAAAGCAAAAACATTCTAAACTACTTTCTGAAATTTCAACAATACCTATCAATATTTTAAATATTACAAATGATTATTTCTGATTTTACGTAGGAACTGTCTCCTTTTAGAAGGATTTTACATAGGAACTGTCTCCTGAATGACTTCTAAATCTGTCTAAAGAAATTGCAGATATTTGGATGATATTTTTTCTTATCACCCCCAAGTTATCAAATTTAATCAATTAGTAATTGTATTTGGCCATTAATATTTTCATTTTTAGAAAGGTTAAAATTTACCTTTTGAACCAAGCCTTTCATAATGTGTGATTTTAGATTTATATTTGTTTCTAATCTTTTATAAAACCAATAATTATTTGGACAAAGAAACTGAATTTTACTTACAGAAAGTTTGCCTTTATGCTATAAGAATATACTTTTAATTACAAGACACTTATCTGTAAGCCATGGAGATATATAAACTGCTGTGCATATGCAACTGCAATAATGCTGTAGGGGCCTTATTGGTGTCCCATCCTGAGAACCTTTTTGTATTTATTAGGAAATGTAAAATATTAGTATGTTTTTCCAAACATTTCTTAATCTTGTTAAATATTTTACAATGAAAAGGCACATCAACAATATGTAATAGAGGTTATTGTGCAAAATACAGATATTTCAACTCAACAGTTAAAGAAGTGTTAAGGTGGAACAGGTCAATGACTGATTCTAGCATATTAGATTGACAAAGGAAATCTGATTGTTTGGTTTTCTAGCTATCTGATGACACTATTCTCACTTAAGGCCAGTATAAGAGCCGAGGTGGCGCAGTGGTTAGGGTGCAGTACTGCAGGCCACTTCAGCTGACTGTTATCTGCAGTTCTGCGGTTCTAATCTCACTGGCTCAAGGTTGACTCAGTCTTCCATCCTTCCGAGGTGGGTGAAATGAGGACCCAGACTGTGGGGGCGATATGCTGACTCTGTAAACCGCTTAGAGAGGGCTGAAAGCCCTATGAAGCGGTATATAAGTCTAACTGCTATTGCTATATTATTGCTATAATCCTGAATAGTTTATTAAAAGCTCATTCCAAAATAGGTACTATTGTCCATTTTCTCTTGTATCTTATTTACTCATCCACTGATCAAACTGTTATCCTTTGGACACGCCTAAAAGTGATAGTATGTGATGGGGCAGATCGCTTTGGCGAATCAAAGGAACTCTCCCAGATGGTTATGCCCCAAATTTTCAGGCAACAGAATCTGCTTCAACCTATGAAGCCTTTACAAGGAGTCATAGAAGGAAGACATGGATTTTGAGCAAATACTTCCACACTGAGAGGCGAAAATAATCGGGTGGGCAAATCAGCTTCTTAGGATCTGGCGTTCCAAAGATGAAATCTGATTTTACAGTATTGATAAAACGAACATGGCCGATTCGGCCAGCCGTGTTTATTATTGTCAGCTGGGCATCATCCTTTGGGGCCGTGGCAAAGATTCAATTACCGCCAGCATTCGCCAGATCGAAGCGAGATAAACGAAGGACACACGCACAACACACCCTTTCGCCAGTCTTTCAAGGCCGGGGCAGGAGTTAGAGGGAGAGGCAGAGGGACTCTTTCCAGACGGGCTTCTTCTATTCTAGAGCTAATGGGTGAGGGCTGCAAAAAGCCGGGCGGCCACAGTTAAAGGGAGCAAGCAACACGACCCTCTCAAGGGAAGGGGCTGCTGCGAGTCCTACGGGCGGAGGGAGATATTCCCCGGCCGATGGTGCAGACAAAGGAGCAAAGAAGCCGGGGCGCCATTTTGACAGCCGCCTGCCTGCCTGCCGGCCAGCCACACCCTCTCCATCCTTTCCAGCCTGCGCAGCTGCGGCTTAACCGCTGGGCGAGATCCGCTCTCCGCTCTTTCCTCCGCTCCCAGCCAATTCCTTCGGCAGCCCCATCCGAGCGCAGCCCCGGGGGCGGCAAGCCGCGGGCGCCCCGCCGCGGGTGACTCACCCTTGAGGGTGGAGCGCTCCACCAGCACTGCGTGGACTTGCGGGTCCGAGAGGAACTTCCGCATCTGTTCCACGGCGCCCTTCTCCTCCAGCGCCGCTTCCAGGGCGGCCGGGGCCTCCCCGCCGTCTTCCAGCAGAAGCGGCACCAGCTTGCGCAGGTGCTTCTGCAGCACAGACACGTCCGCCACATTTTGCACCGCCGAGCCGCCCGCTTCCAGGCCGCCGTCCTCCCCGCCGCCGCCGCCGCCCGAATCGGACATGGCTGATGGGCTTCTCGGCTGTCGAGATGGACGGAGCCGCCCTTACAAAAGCGCTCCGGAGCTTCCCTGCCGCGGAGTTCTGAAACTTCGCACTGAGCCCCGCCTCGTCCACGACGCCGTTCTTTAACGACGCCTTCCTCGCGACAGCCCCTCCCCGGAGGATCCTGGGAAGTGTAGTCGGGAATTGTGCGGCTCGGAAGAACAGGCTTTCTCTGCGGCGAAGTTCGATGGAGTCCTCGGCGAGCGAGTCTAGAATAGAACAGAGGTCTTCAAACTTGAAGACCTCTGGAATAGAATAACAGAGTTGGAAGGGACTTTGGAGATCTTCTAGTCCATCCTCCTGCTTAGGCAGGAAACCCTATATCATTTCAGACAAATGGCTATGCAACATCTTCTTAAAGCCTTCCAGTGTTGGGGCATTCACCACTTCT